ATAATATCCTCATACAGTTTTGCAAAAAAGGAGACCTGTTTATCTGCTGGTATACATGAGGATGTAGGGGATTTTTGACCAAAGGATCTACCTGAGATTAAATCCCAAAAGAGGGATGGGTTTTTATCTTTAACTGCTTCAATTAACTGTCCCCAGAGTTTTCTGGTACTGTATATTCTTTCTTAGTGTGTTATATCAGCAGTTTATATTCTTTTTTCTTTCTTTTTTTGTATCAAGAGTTTTAAGAAGGCATCACTTCTGGTCTGACCTTCTGATCTTTTGTATTGCTGAAACTGCCAGTTTAATAATTTTTTTGCTGATGCACAGCTATGATCAAACCATGAGTAGTTGTACAGTTTCTGAGAATCTTCACTATGAGTGTGAACCAGAATTGCATTAAGTTTTTGTATGAGGTTTTCATAAATGGCTATGGGATCTGAATCAGCTGCTTCACTTCCTGTGTAATACAGCATATAAGTTTGTTCATGTCCTCCTGAGTTAGAAACTCCCTTAGGCTAACTGCCAGACTAGGGGTCTATCTTGTCCTGCAACCACCTCTTTCAAGTGGTGCAATTGGGGTATAATGTCTGGACTCCAAATGGACAGATCCAGGATTTAGCTGCAGGCATAGGAAAAGAGGAAAATGATCCCTCCAAATATGGAAGCACCTGAAAATCCTCAACCAAATATTGGAGGTCTCTACATACTAGAATATAATCGTGCTAACTTTGGATCCTGATATAAATGTAAATTCACCTGGAATGTCACCTTCAGTTGAGCCATTTAACACATATAGATCCAATCTATAGGAGAATATATACAGGCAGGCCCAGCAAAATTTGCCTGTTGATCTTTAAATAGCCTCTCCCTTTGATAGTGGTCAGTGTTCTCAGATGTTTTATTAAGAATCAACTTTTATTTGAAAGCCAGAAAGTCATCATTTGGGCCCATCCGGGCATTTAGATCACCTCCCAGGAGTGTCAGAGCATCAGGGTATTCTAAGATAAGTGTCCTCACATAATTTTCTAGTAACAGCCAGTTTTCCTCAAGTTCTGCTTTTCTACACATGGGCGGGGGGCAGATATTCATTTATGATCAATAAATCCCTCTTGCCCCGTTAGAACTATGTCCATTGCTAACTGTCTCAGAGAGGGTTTTGTAACAGATTTCAGCTTCAAAGCAGTTGATATAAGAATACCTACCCCTCCTTCAAACACCCCGCTTCCCTGTCCAGCCACTGCATTTACCTTAAAAGAATTAAAACCATCTAACACCGATTTAGATGGTTTTAATTTTAATTTAACACTGCTTCCAGGATCATATCTGTCATGGTTGAATTTCTAACTTCTCATGGCATTCCTGAGCATTTGTTACAGCTGGTTTTATGTCCTTTTCCTCCTTATTAAAGGCACATAGCTCAGTCTTTTGTTTTAATGGATTGCTGTTGTTGTCTGCACAGGGTTGTTTCTTCTATCTTGAACAGTTCTGGATCATTTGCAGAAGAAACTGGGAAGTGTGGTACAGTGTTCCTTTTTTTCACAATTCCTACAGGTTCCAGGGCTGGGCTTGTCAGGCTGCCATTCACAGAATTTGATGGCAATCTGTGGGTAGATTGGTATGGAATCTTTGTACTCTCTTTTTGGGGACTTGGCTATTGTAGATCTTTTAAAGCTGACACCAGACCTTCCAAACGATTTATCATCGAGTCTTGATCATTCCTCGGTAAAGGGCGAAGGGAGGATAGCAATTCTATCTCCTCTTCCAGCGAGTTGTTTCCTATGGAATCTCTGTTAATTGCCTGACCGGTATCTATATGGGATGTATGTCTTCTGGGGGCCAAAGTAGTAGTGGCCTTTGTATTGACTACTTGTAGAGGTACAGGCAGGTTGGTTGGAGTGGACTGAGCCAGTTGATTTGGGATGGTTTTGAAAACTACTTTTGTCTCTGTTGGATGCCTTGTATGTCTCTTGATGTATTCTTTTCTATTTGGGCTGTTCCTCCTGGATAGTGGCCCCAATCTCTGGATTGTGGTATTTAAGAAATATTTTTCTGTCCTATTTCCTAAGGAGTAACGTTTAAAGGCATTTTCAAACATAATGGAATTCTGTTTGTCTGGAATTGTAATATGAACCGCTCGTGGTGAATTGGACCAAGTAGTCTTTTCAGCTTTAAAAGGTCAATAATTTCTGCCACTGAATTAGAAAGAAAAGCCAGATGTCTATTTTCCTTCCACTTTGAGGACCAATCAATATAGTTGCCTTGGTAGGGAAAAATACACAGAACAATACTTTTGGAATCAAAGGTTTGTGGGTTTGGGCATCTTTTAACATCTGGCTGGGCATTCTGGATCTCCTCAGTTTTTATAACAGCGCGAAAGGGTGGATGGGTGTGTGGGTGGGCATGCAGGCCGCCCTGCACATACACAAAGGGGCGAGGGAGCGCTCACTCCAGTGCTGACGGGCACTTCCCCACCACTTCGCACATGCACCTGAGAGTGTGCACACACCCACGTGGTACCCCCCGCCTTCCTCGAAGGCTCAGCCGGTCCACAGTCCCAAAACAGTTGGGGACTGCTGTTCTAGAGCAATCCCCAGCCTCATCATCCACCTTCAGGCATTCATCTGTTATGCAACTCTACTGGAGTGTAAAAATCCTCCAGTCTGGATAGCTTATGGGTTAGTGAGATTTTTTTCACTCCGGAACAGGAACATTCTTTTCTACCCCATCTGAGTTGATAGTATTCTTGATATTTTGATATTACCAATAGGTCCTCTGTAGATTTATTTGCTCAGCGCTTTGTTCAGCTGTCTCTTTAGGAGTAGTTAATTAGCCAAGCAGAGCTGGGAGATCTTTCTTGTCTCTTCACTCTCCTTCCTTGTTGAAGATTTTTCTGCTTTTAAAAGTCTTCCAGCTCTATCCTATGGCTGAATACAGCTGTTATTGTTGTTTGGGAATGAGATAAGGCTGAGCCTACTCTTGCGTCCTTCTCCTTCACACACACACCCCACTTAGGAGGCCGACTCCCTAGGATCTTATTGTGACTCCAGAAAAAAAGTTAAAAGACTTGCCAGAGCCAAGGTTAAAAGCGGCAAGGTGGAAGTAATCCAAAACTTAAAAGTTTAAACTGTTTAAACTATTTAAAACTGATTAAAACTATTTAAGACAGTGAGCACAGTGGCAAAACTGCTGTTCCACCCTAAAACCGGAACCCCCGGTAACATTGTCCTCTCTATGCCAGGAAAAGTTCTGCCTGTTGAATCTGGAGAGTGCAGATGTCCAAGAACTTGGTTCAATTTGTTTACAGAATTTTGCAAAATTAACAAATGTCTTCATAAATAGGGACTTTTTACTCAATACATTACAATGTTGTATAAACACCAACAGAATCTATTTGAGGTATTTTTAAAGTAACACATCCAAAACCACATTCCTCTGCTTCTATCTAACTTATGGATGTTGTGGGTTTTTCGGGCTCTTTGGCCGTGTTCTGAAGGTTGTTCTTCCTAACGTTTCGCCAGTCTCTGTGGCCAGTATCTTCAAATAGCACAGAGTGCTGTCCTCTGAAGATGCCAGCCACAGAGACTGGCGAAACGTTAGGAAGAACAACCTTCAGAACACGGCCAAAGAGCCCGAAAAACCCACAACAACCATTAGATCCCGGCCATGAAAGCCTTCACAAATACATTATCTAACTTACTTTTAAACTAACTAAATCAGTATTATAGCCTGATGCATATAATCTACAATTAGCTTCACATTGTAAAATCACATTTTGATTTTTTTTAAGATCAGTTTTAGCAGCCAATTTTGTTAATATTATACTTGGTTATAAAATGGGTATGACTGGACTTGATTTCTGAAGACACTACTAAATTGTTCTGAGGACACTACTAAATGTTTGAAGAATATCCATTTGCTTATTAGGTAGAATCCTAGAATAACTGAATTGGAAGGGGCCTACAAGGCCATTTGAGTCCAACACCCTGCTCAATGCTGGAATCCAAATCAAAACAGATTGACAGATGGTTGTCGAATTTTCTCTTGAATGCTTTTAGCCACTTCCTGTGGTAATCGGTTCCATTGCCGTACTACTTTATCAGTTATGAGGTTTTTCCTGATATTCAGCCTAAATGTGGCTTCCTGTAGCTTGAGCCCATTATTACATGTCCTGCAGTCTGGGATGATTTAGAAAAAATCCTGCCTCTCCTTCTTTCAAGTATTTGAAAAGTGCTATCATATCTCCCCCTGGTCTTTTCTCAAGGCTAAACATGCCCACTTCCTTCGGTCTTTCAGGTAGGGCTATAATGGGTCACTGTTACACAGCATAAGCAAACCTAAGTATCAACTGAATAATCCAACACAAGGAACCTGAAACTCAAGTTTCCCATCCTGTTTAGTGCCTACACATTACTTTCCAATATAGCTAGAGTCAGCCTAGCAAAGGTAACTTCATCCTTCCCCCCTCCAAGTGTTTCACACCTAGAACGTTGTTGCACCAAACTTCACCACAAGTACAAGAAAAAGGTATGCAACTGTTGGATTTGAACAATTACACAACATGTCATTCTCAAATCCACATTAGTGCCCAAAAGGCAGAAAACAGAAACTCTTTTGTTCAAGAAGCTGGATTACATCTGCAAATTCAACAGCTGCAACAGCTGGAAGATCTGCAACCAAGCCAACAGTAGATACATTGGTTTTGGTCTCCCATCTTCTGTCTTCAGGATATGAGGAAACAAACTCATTTCAAGAGTGAAACTGTGGGTTTGTAAGCACATCAGATTCTATTGGGCTTCAGTGGAGTTACAATACTAGCAAGACATTGCCAAGTATTATGATAGACTTTTGTTCAAGTTATCAATAGCAGTTCATGACTAGAATCTTCTGATTAAGACAAACTGTAAATCTGTTATTTATTTATTATTAAGGAGCTGATTAAAACAAATACCTCAAATAAAGTAAAATTTATAAAACACCATTAAAATGAACAGACACAGTAATGGTAATAAATTAATTTTATAGTTGATATGGAAATAGACAATTGCATTTTAGTATAAACTTTGTTGCATAAAATCCATGTCACAAGCTAAAGTAACTTGTTCCAAATAAACAGAACTATTGCATTTTTTTTCCAGCATAGTTAGTTTCAGATACACATTTCAGTTTGAACAGACCAGTTTGTTTGCCCAATACTAACCCATACATAATCAATAGCTGAATGAATTCTTTTCATCTATTTGAAAACTTGGCACCTTTAGACATTGAAGACCCATGCACAATACCCTCTGAATCAACTCTGTGGATCAGTGTGTTTTATATAGGGTGTCTATTATGTTCATCATTTTATGATCATTTCACTTTTTTGTGTTTATCATTTCCTTTGGGATGCTCTGTGCCAGCTTTGCTTTAAACTACTACAAGTACATGAAATCCTCACAGCTGCATCCTGACAGCAAACTTTTTCACAAGAGACTAACACCTGAACTGATGACTTGATGGACTGAGTTTTCTCGTTGCAAAGAATCGCACTAAAGTTCCAAATTTAATACTGAGAGTTCCAGCATCCATATGAATGGAGCATGGTGGGTGGCAGTGAAAAACATACAGCATTAAGTAATACTGGCCAAAACCCTTTTGGCATAGCTACCCCTATGGAATGGTAATGACATCACTAGCAAGGGGAGATTTTTTTGGTAATTAAAGACTTCCTCTCTTCAGCAGCCTATCCAACTTATAAATAGTCCATTTCATTGCATAGATGCCATGGAAATTGTGGGATGAAATAAGTCTTTAACTAGAAGCTTCATTGCTCACTGGTTAAACTGAGGTGCTCCAATCAAGACTTTGCTCACGACCCAAGTTCAATTCTGATGGACTCAAGTAGTTGGCTCAAAGTTGACTCAGCTATCCATCCTTTCAAGATTAGTAAAATGTGTACAGTATCTAGCTCACTAGGAGGTAATGTGTAGCCAGCATAATTATGTTATAAACCACACAGAGGGTGCTTTAAGAACTATGGGGTCGTACATAAGCAGCACACTTTGCTTTATAATGATGTGCAATCTCCCTCTGCCAATAATATAATCCAGGAGTAGCAATTTTTGGTAATGAAAGACTTCCTCCTTCTGTCCTGCACCTCCCACAGCTTCCACATGATTAAAGAAATTGTTTGCAAGTTGGAAAAGCCACAGGAGAGAAGTGAGACTTAATTACCAGAACTCTCCTGCTAGTGATGTGATCATCCTTCCACATTTGCAGTTACGCTGACAGGATTTCAGTCAACAGACCACAGCAGATTAATTCTGACCTCGTTTATTTGAAACAAAGCTTCACTCAGTTCAGTTGTACCAACTTTCTCAAGTATGCAAGCTTAGGACTGCAACCATCCTCTCTTTTCTTCTCTAGGAATACCTAGCAAGCAGTTTCAGTATTGCTGTGAGAATTCAGGTACATATATTTTCTCCATGCTGCTTTTCATAATTATTTGTATCTTTGTGACAAGTTTTACCCACATAAACATTCTGAGCATTATATTTATATATGTAATGTATGCACAGTATTTTACCATTTTATCAATGAAGACTACATGCTGTATTTCATCCCCCCCCGCCCCCGGAAGCATGGAGAGAGAAATTTCCCATGCTCATATCTTTCGTGCACCTGAAAAATAACTTTGGTCACTCTGCTAAGGCATTGTGTTTGGACAGTTCCAGATTCCAGTCAAGAAGAAAGACCATGTTATTTCCCTGGCACAAAAGTGCACTTAGTGTAAAACTGAAGCACTCATAAGACTTCTTAGCTACCATTTAGACCTCAAGTAAGTATTGCTGTAAGAATGATATGTAACAATTTTCTATTAACTCAACCTATGAGTTTGGGGGGTTTTTTTGTGGGTTTTTGCAATAAGTTAAGCATATAAATGTAGCCCTGCAGGGCCATTTTGTGACCTCCAGCTTCACCCCAAAATGTTAAACTTTTAAAAAAAAACCTTCTTCAAAAAGCTCCAATGTACCCTCCAGGGGTGTGGAGGAGTAATTTGGTCACATTTTGAGGGGTCATCCGCACCCTGAAGAGCCTCCCATGCCACCCCCAAAAAACCCTTTTAGTTAAATCTCTTTTTTTAATTAATAAAAACCTATTGTAGCAACTTTTCCTGTATATAACCATTGCATTAAAAAAATAAAAATGCAAAATGGCCTCTTTGGCCCCACAACCTCTTGAGCCCCACTCCTTGGTACTGCAATCCTTGGGATGCAAATCCGAAAAAATTACTCTTGGACCCACTGAGACAACCCACCCCCCTGAAGTATATTATAGCATTGCTAGTACTTTATCTAAAGACTACATCTTCTGCATTTCAGTTTACTTAATCACTGTAGAAGACAAAGTAAATTTGAGCACCATTCTAATCTCATTTCAATGTTTCAAAGTAGTAAATTTGAGCACCATTCTAATCTTGCTTAAACATGTTTCAAAATTATCTTTCAACGAACCAGATGTAGATTTGCAGGAACCACACAGGGTTTACAAAGCTTGGCAGAGTAAAAAGTAATACAAAGACTTTGTAAATGAATGTACTATACTGACAGAAGTGACAATAAGAGGTTTATGATGCCACACAGAACATGTTTTATCACTACTGCTTATTTTTAAGTCTATCATTGGCTTAGTCCCTTACCATGGAAAATGAATAATGAAGTCCAGCAATAAACTGCCATCTGTTTCCACTTCCAGATTATTTACTCTGCTGGCTATCCCATTATGCTCCCATAAATACAGCATTCTGAAATTTTGTTTCACGCTGCAAGCTGATTCATACCGAAGAACTGAAGGCAATATTTACATAGTATGCGAAGAAACACTGCTATATTCAAGGTATATTTTTCACAGCTATATGATACTGATCAGTATATGGAGTTAGTAAACATTTTAACCATTTAGGAACATCTAGACATCTGTTAACTAAATCATTCTGAACCACTGGTGTTTCTTGTTGTAGATACCATCATATTTGTGTAGAAGAGCCTTCTTAAACCCTTTGGGATCAGAGCATTTTGGTCATAAGGAATAAGTGTTCATCTAGAAGTACATCCAGTTATCAGGAGTCTTATAAACTAAGTACCATGGAACAGAGTATTTTACCTATGATGATCCACTTTCCATTGGAAAGCTTGTTAAATATCACATAAACAATCCCATCTTGAATTACCCAAAATATCTCACAGACCAGTAGTTCTCAACCTTGGATTCCCAGATGTTCTGGGATTAAAACTCCCCAAAGCCTTCTGCTTTTAGATCATTCTGCTGGCCAGCATTATTTGCGCTGGCCAGGATTTTTGGTAGCTGTAGCCCAAGAACATCTGGGGACCCAAGGTTGGGAACTACTACTACAGATGATCAACAAATCAGAGAGTGGTAAATTTGTCTTAGAGACAGGTTTTGGTGTACGGAGAATTCATATATCAACATAGCAAGAAAATGATATTTATACTTAAAAACCCTTCTTAGATACACAGAATGTATCAAGGTTTTGCTTGCATCTTACACTACATAGTTACAGCTGTTTGCTGGCATGGTTCCATGCTGTGGAATACTGGGATTTGTAGTCTGGTGAGCAACTCGAAATTCTGTCCTAGGGAATTGTCAGGCACTCCTCTGAACAACAGCAGAGGATTTGAAGGACCTCAACAAGCTATGCATCCTAAGATTCCACAGCACAGAATCATGACAATTAAAGTGGTAGCAAACGGCTATAATTGTACCATACATGTACAGTTCTCTAAGCTTACTACCGGTTGTATAACAGGCTGGAATAACCGTCAGGAGCTATAAGCCTAATACATGCACTAGCCCAGTGGAGTTTAACCCATCTGAAGAGAATGTGCACCTGATACACTTAGCTACTTCAAAGATGAAGATGCTGTTCATACATATTACATATATGCACATGTACACTCAAGAGTGAAGTCTTACTGATAATGTTAGAAGCGGCTAGATTTTTTTTACAGAAAGCTTCGTATACCATAGTTGCTAGCACATCCAATGAAGAGCAATGTCTATATTATATTTTGTCTTCTCTCAATACTGAGACATAAAAAGCTGCATTTGTACAGAAGACATATTTTGTCTTGCTAATTAGTCTGACTTAAAGATAAAGACTCTCGTTAGCCCCCATCCCTAATCCAGCATAAAATAAATCTTGTTATGTTTGATTGTCATGGCTATAACTTTAACATTAAAATGTTATCCTGTAGAATGAACTTTAGAAAATACTGGCCCTAAAAACAAAAACAGTTACATCTTCTGGCACAAAGCATGAGCTCTAATGATCTATAGCAGGGCGTTTGGCTCCAGCTGCAACCAAGGAAAGCCCTGGATGCATCTTTGGTCCAGATTAAGTATCTGTGTTACTAACTATACTATAGCTGAGTTGCCTCCACCTGGTTTTTACGCTGCCTTACAGAGGTCTCCTCTACTTTGCCAGATTCATCCTGCTCCACATCATCTTCTGTTTGAGATCCTTCAACAGCAGAGTCCTCAGAGGAATTTTCCTGGGACTCATCTTCGTCACCTTCTTCATCTTCTCTGTCAGACAGACCACTTTCTGTATGTGTCTCTTTTGAAGTAGGTTTCAGTGTCTCTTGTAGCTCTTCTGTTTTATCATCACTAGGGTCCACTAAATCTGGTGGCAAACAAATTGAGAAAACTGAAGACAATAATTCTGAGTACATATTTTAAAAATACAAAATCTCACGTATTTTAAAATCCATCCAGTGTCATTTAATTTCTTTACTAAACCACATTGCATTCCAACAAGCAAGTCTCCTGTATTTTGTGTTTCTTCTTATACTTAGTGCCCATAAATATGTTATTTTTTGTGTGTCTGTTAGCAATTTATAGATAGAAAACATTATTTTGCAGCTTGCAGCTAACTCTCCAGAAGCCCACAATCCTGGCCCTGACTGACTATCTATCTCTTTCTTTCTCTCACATGGTGAAGGTTTTTAATTTATTTTTTCTAGTAGAAATGTCTAGTTTCCTAAAATGTTCTCTGGGTCTTTTCAACAACCCACTCTTTTATCCCAATTGAAAATAAGGGTATAGTCCTTAGCACACTAGGAAGTTAGTTCCAAGGGTTCTAAATCAAATTCACTACTGATCAAAAATATTACAGAAATGCCCATTTTAAAACATAAAATCTGCCAAAGATTTGGAAGATTGCAATCATCTCAGCACTATTTTTTTTTTTACTAGCTCAAACTTCAGTTAACCCACATACCTTCATACCTGGAAGGAAGGTTTCCAAGACCATTTATGTATTTCCAGTAGGACATTTTCTACAAGTGCTGTGGCTGTTCCATTGTATGTACAGTTAGCTATAAAAAAATCTCTATCATCTGGTTCATTTGTAGGCTTGATTGCCAAGCTGAAGTGACAACTTATTAAGGTCTCAAAAATCACTTGACTAATCAATGGGCTGGTATCTAGCTACTTGCATAATAATATTAATATTAATAACAACAACATGCTGACTTATGACATCCATTATAAGGTTTTTCAAGTATGAAGTACTGAGAAGTGGTTCACCAATTCCTCCTTCTGGTGGCCCTCTGGGACCAAGGCTAGCCAGGTGGCAAGGTACATAACACATTAGCCACACATACAATTCAGCTGATTTCAGCTGGCCCATGATTCCAACTCTCAGCACCTAGGTCCACAGTCAGGCTGCTCCACTTAACTGCACCCACCAGTTAATATATATGCACACATACATATACAGTGGTGCCCCGCATAGCGACGATAATCCGTGCAGCCAAAATCGCCGCTATACAGATTTGTCGCTATGCGAAAAAAAGCCCATAGAAATGCATTTAAACCCGTTTAATGTGTTCCTATGGGTAAAAAACTCACCTTACAGCGAAAATCCTCCATACGGTGGCAAAAACACAGCAGGCAGCCATTTTATTTCCCCGGCGGCCATTATGGACCCGCCGATCAGCTGTTCTAAAAACATCGCTATGCGAAAATCGGTAAGCGAAACAGCTTACCGATCATCGCAAAGCGATTTTTACCATTTAAATTAGTGGTTCTTAACGTCGGCAATAATGTCCCCCAGGGGGCGATTTCATTTTTCAGGGGGGCGGTAGAACAAAACGGGGCAGTGTGGGGGCGAAAGAAAAGAAGGGGCGCGGGAGCGAGCCAAACCTGTGAAGGCGACTGCAGCTGCAGTGCTGGCAGTAGATCTGGTGCTGCTGCTGCCGCCAGATGATCCAGCTCTTTCTACCTGCCACGTCTTGCCTTTCTCCTTTAGGGGAGCACTGAGTGTGGATCGGGTGGAAGGAAAGGGTCTCTTGGGTCCTCACATCCTTGCCCCGTGAAGCGCTGCCTCGCACCCGGGTAGAGAGGGAGACTAGGAAGTTAGGTAGGTAGGTAGGTAGGTAGGATATCATCACCTCAGGGAGGGGGGCGATGATAACTTCCTCAATGGCTCAAGGGGGCGTTTCTTTCAAAAAGGTTAAGAACCACTGATTTAAATCATCGCAATGCAATCGCTTTTGTGATCGCAAAAAACAAATCGCTATGCGGATTTGTCGTTAACCGGGGCACTCGTTAAGCAAGGCACCACTGTACAATATCTGAAAAACATAGTACTACATGCATCAGTAGCTGATGCAACTCATTGACCATACAAGTGATTTTCATATCAGAACCTCCAAGACTTAGTGTTCCAATTGAACTTTAAGAAGCCACGTGGAGGATCAATTAAGTACCCAACAGATCCAACTGTTTTCCTAATGGCTGTTGAGGAATGTCCTCTTATCTCAGCAGGCAATTCTGTAAAAGCTCTGGCTGATCTCTGGAATGGGGAAATAACTAGTGTGATCCACTGTTGCTCTTAAGCATTCCTTCTTGTGGCACAGAGATAAACCAGGCCCCTGGTTTACTAGGGAGCTGGCAGTGATTAAAGGAAAAGAGACCAGAGAAAGATGGTGGAAAACCTGGGATATGTCTGATCTACATAGGCTTTGTTGCTCACACCTGAGACTACCAGTCTCAAGTGGTCATGGGCCTGTTCTGACCCACAAATGGAGAATGTGCATCATTTCACAGTCTGTGAAGAATTTGCAAGGCACTGCAAATTAAATTACTCAGATCCATGTTGACCTGGATATTATAGGTGGAGTAGGTTCTACGAATGGAAATGCACCTCTGCTAACTGATTATTTTTCAGTGTGTGCATTGTTTCAATAGGATTTTTTGAGAGCTGGGAGCCATCACATGTGTGCTGGATCTTTGCCCTCCCTAGCTCATAAGAACAGTCAGGGAGACTAGCCAAGTGGGCAAAGGGAGTAGTGAATGCACCTCTAGATCAAGGCAGGACTCCATCCTGCTGGACTTATCATTAGCTTTCAGTACCACTGAACATGCTATTCTTCTGGTTTGCCTCTCTGGGATGGAACTTTGAAGCAATGTCTTGCAGTGGTTCCATTTATTCTTGGACATGAAAACTCACGCTGAAGCTTTGTTTACTCATGGATTTGTCTCTGAATCTCAATGCTGAGATTTCAGCACTGACTAGGAGTGCATTTGCACAGTTAAAACAGGTGCATCGACTACTCCCATTCCTTGGGATGTATTTTCTAGCTAAGTTTACACAAACCTGAGTTACCTCCTGCTTGATTTACTGTAATAATCCATGTGGCATTGCCTTTAAATACTTCTGAGAAACTTCATCTATTTCAAAACACTGCAGCCAGACTGCTAACAGGGACTGGTTACAGAGATCATTCCCCTCTATCTTGTTACAACAGCATCACTGATTAACATTCTGTTTCCAAACTCAGTTTAATGTGTTTGTTATGACCTTTAACTTCCTATATGATTTGGGCACAGACTCATCTTCCCATACAACTCTTCCCAGTTTTTGAGATATTCAACGGAGGAAATTCTCTTGATCCTGCCATTCTCACAGGCATGCCTAGTTAGGACGTGGCTAGAGCTGGCCACCTCTCTGTTGCCCTTCCACTGGCAAGCAACAGCTTTTGTTTTCAAGCAAACCTTTGGTAATTGAATGGCCTGACAAGAAAGAAAGAAGGCAGGGGGGGTTGGGGTTATGTTACACTTTTTTAGGCTATATAAATGAGTGGCTTTTTAATAATGCCATCTGTATAATTCTATTTTAATATCATGATTCCTCGTAATGTTAGTTGTATGTTTTTTAGTAATTCGAAAACTCACTTAAGGTCCCTCTACTAGGAGAAAGGTGGGACAAAAGATAAAAGACTTTTACTTTCAAACCAAACTTTACAGGCTCGCCTGAAAAAGTTGTACTTTTAGTTTATTTGCTCTTATTAACAATCCTGTTCATAATGGCATGCCTCCTAAAATTGTAAACTGAGCTTCTACTATTATACACTTACCAGAACCTTCTTCTCTGGATTTGGGTGGACAAAAGCAGTCTGCAAGCAAAACCAGAATCTGTAAGATAAGAAGCAGAATGATAAAGTCCATACATTAGCTTCACAACTAGAAAAAGACCTTTCTAAGCCTAAATGTTACCCTTTTGGATGCTGGAGCATTTATCACATTGCTATGTATCCATATTTTTCACAAGAGTTATTAGGGCCATAGCTTTGAGCACAGCCACAATTCAGAATTAAACAACTCATCAAATCCATCAGTTGCTTGTAAGAACACAGCAGTGTGGGATTTACCTCTTCTACCTCTGCAAATATTCTAGAGAGGTAGTGCTGGTCTTTGTGAGTACAGACAGTTTAATTTGCATACTCCGTGATTCAGTCTGCTTGACCAAGTTTCCTTCAAATGTCAATTGTCAGAAAATATTTATTTATTTATTTATTGGACTTATATACCGCCCCATAGTGCTACAAGCACTCTCCGGGCGGTTTACAATTTTTAATTATACAGGCTACACATTGCCCCCCCCCAGCAAGCTGGGTACTCATTTTACCGACCTCGGAAGGATGGAAGGCTGAGTCAACCTTGAGCCGGCTACCTGGGATTTGAACCCCAGGTCGTGAGCACAGTTTTAGCTGCAGTACAGCGTTTTAACCACTGCGCCACGAGGTTAACTGAAATACCACAATTATTTACGGAAATGTTTTAGACATTCACTACAGCTATAACTTTTCATCGTAAACTAAACAAAGACATGTGAATATGAGCCAGAACAACTTTTACAATGACCCTGGCTTGCCAGATTAAAACATGAACATATACAAAAGGCAAGCATTATCTACTTTGCAGTTTATGGCCTGTTTACTAATAAGTATTATAATAATAGTAGTCCTTTATGAACCCCAAAGTTTAAGTTGATGTGGAAGCAATGATATTTACTAAACGTTTCCCCCCAACATTTAAGCTTCAAAATAGCATTTATGTTCTGCCTAACTGACAGCTACTTAACTATGTGCAGTTGATTTACTTGAATGTTAGTTTGTTGCTGTTCAAACAATTATATCAAACTTTTATAACAAAGATGAATTTCCAGTAAGCGTAAGATGTAATAAAATCTTATGATCGTAACATAAATTCTTTATCTTCTTGATGAGGTTTACAATAAGAAACAGTAACAGAAGTTAAGCTCCTAGTTCTTCCTATTCTTAGTAATACATCTTCACATCCAACATTACTTTGCCATCAGTTAAGCACTGCGTAACATTGGGTGTATAAGAGCTAATGCAACACTGTAGATAAGCATTAGTTAGGGCAGAGGTTGTCAACCCCCGGTCCACGACCCAGTGCCGGTCCGTGGGCTTGCCGGAACTGGGCTGTGGATACGGATCTCCACATGCACGTGGGGGAGCATGTCGTGCCTTCGGGGGCATGTTGTGCTCATGTGCATGCATGAAAGTGGGACACGCCCCCTGCAGGCACAACACGCCCACTGTGTGAGCATGACATGCCCACCATGTGAGCACCCCCGCCCCCTCCGCACATGGAGCTCGCTCACCCCAACCGGTCCGTGGCCCCAAAAAGGTTGGGGACCACTGAGTTAGGGTATGAGCAGGCAACAAGCAGCCCAAAGTGCTCCCCCTTTTTCAAAAATACTAGCTCAAAGACAGGCACGAGCCCTCCACAGCTTGTGGCTGACATGTTTTGAAGGGCGCCCATGACCCATGGAAACCCTCTGTAAAGGCCCACTTTTTAAAAACATTGTAAATAGATATATTTTTAAGCAAGAGGTGACACAAAGGGGCTTTTTCAATAAAAAAAACTTTTAAGAAAAATTTGAGGTTGGGGTTGCAGAAGCAGCTCACTAAGGTCCAGGGACAGGAATGTGAATCTCTGGAGATTGGACAAGCCTGAGTTGGGCAGGGTCTCTCTCCCTGCATTTCAACTGTCATCTTAGACATAACTTACTTGGTGGTGTTAGGCAAACTAATGTTAGTTTCAGCCCTTCTGCCATGTCTGCAATATAAAGGTAACACTACCTATATATCTTATATGGTTGCATAAGCACTACAACCAAGGAACAATGTTAAGCACTGTGATTATTCAAAAGGAGAATATAAGAGTACTGAAGCATTGCTAAATTGTACTTTAGTGTTGCAAAAAAATGCTATGGCAAACCACAAGTCCACATGCCCCTCCTAGCTACTGCATGTGAGTGAAGGTAATGTGAAGCTTCCCGATGCTTATTCTCATCTTCTGGAAATGTTCTGTTTGGCTGAGATTTAAATGTTTATGTATAATTATGTAAATACAAATGAGATGCAAGTTATGCTGAACCCTCTCTGAAATTACCCACCAGTGTCATGAACCTCAAAATAAAATGGATCAAATAATTTTAACCTTCATGAAGTTCACTGGATTGAACATCTCAAATTCTGTAGCAGCAATGAATTTTAACACTTGTGGAGGGCATTTACAATATTTTTTAAGGAGAAACCTCTTGGGTTTCACAAAAAGAGTAAAGAAATTCAACAGATAATAGATATACAAGACAAGGAGAACAAGAAATAAAGTGAGGAGAAATTGTTAACAGTAAGCGGAAGCATCACAGGAAACCCATGAAAAGCTGCTTTTATAGTGTAACAAGACCGAAGGTTTCAATAAAAACTCTGCATCATGCATTAGGATTAAAATAAACAGAAGAAAAGTTGGGGTATATGAATGTACTGAAGCCCACAAACAATAACTACCTATCTTCCTACCTGGGATCTGGAGGATAGGAGAAAGCCAGTCATCAATCCCTGTTAAATTGCTAGAATGTGCTAGCCCACTTTGCAGTGTGAGGGCCACATCTTATATTTTACACATTTTTGAGGCCCAAAGGAGGGAAGGGGAGCCCAAGCGATCCCCCACCCCTGCTGTCTTTGCAAAGACAGTAGAGGTGGGGGATTGCTTGGGGCCACCTTCACTCCACTTCCTATGCCCACGCCAGATAAAAAGGCAAGGCAAGCCAGATGTGGCCCGTGAGCCATAGTTTGGAGACCCCTGTGCTAGCCTATCAATTTTTTTCTGAAGTAGGGAGGGAATGGAAAATTGTTGCTATAATTATAAAATTAGAAAGCACCTCCTAAGCGCTGGAGAATAAGAGTGCCCAGAGATCTCCTGTATTCCTCATTGAATCATTCAGTTTTTTCTTGAAAGGCTATGCCTATTTTGTGGTTTACAATGAAAAATAAAATTACGCTGCATTTTACTATTTATTTGGGAGTAAGTGACATTATATTCTATGATATATTTCAGAAAACATATACAGAATCAGACTCTAAGATGCTAGAAGTTATTCTGGCCTGGAATTCCATGTCCTTTCTCTGGTGGCAAGTGCTTCAGGGGCTGGGTGCATAGAAATAAGGCATAAAGAGTGCCTTTCCCTTACTCTTCACTCTTGCCCTATGAGTTTGAGGCTCTCTCCCCACCACTCCAACAGGGTGATACTTTTTCTTCCCATTCTCCCTCCCAGCTCAAGTATTCTACCTTCCATGCATCTCCCACATATCTTATTTATTAGGGCAAATGACTGAATAGAAAGAGAACCTTGATGTCACACCGTCATGAATGTTCAAAGTAGTGATTCATTTCTAGGCACTAACCAATGGAATATGCCAGCATTTCAATACAAAGCAAACCTCCAAGACAAACTGCATCCTACTATAACATTGTCTGTTAAACTGCCATTTCTTGTTACTAGACCTGAAGAATAATAGTTTGTTCTTCATTTTCAAAGAAGATCATCTCCATTAGCAGGGCTTGAAAATTTTTAGAATGTCTCAACAGTCAATCAAAAATTTCACCAATCAGCATGACTAGACTATAGCTTTGCAATTTATTGGGATTGGGAATCACTGATTTATATCCTCAGACTTGGGTAGCTTTATTACCTGTGTGCCCATGGGGTCATAAAGCTTGTATTTTGAATGCATTTCTTTTGAATTTCTCCAGCAAAAATAAAACTGAAAGCAAAAGCACCCAGCCTCTTAAGGAGCCATGGTTCCCTCCTCGTTTGGTTGAAATTGGGAGCAGGGAATCTCCATATTCTCCAACAAGGGACTACTCTACATTCTCCTGCACAGTCATATCTCTATGTGCTGCTCAAACTCTCTTCTCGTGAGAAGAGGGCAGTTTTCCTTTTGCAATGGGAAGGGGGAGGGGAGGACTGCAGGATTAGAGAGAGAGAGAGAGACAAACAGATGGAGGGTAAGGAGGCAGGGAGGGAGGGAGCTGTGGCTCATCAAGTAGCATCTTTCACTCACCACAGATGAGTGGAACAGTGCATTTTTCAAGCCCTGTCAATTAGATTCAGATTCATACCTGAGAAATACAACTACAGGCAAGAGCAACACTGGCATTTACATGAGAGAGTAAGAGAAACTGCATTTTTGACAGTTTTTTTTAAAAAGTATTTCTCATTTACACTATATAAAATTATTCTTACCAAGCCCAATATAAGACCAATCAGTAGAGTAGCCAATATGAAGACTGCATAAGAACCCCAAAGAGGAAGTTCAAGAGTACCTGTTAAGTAGTTGTGGATTTGCTATAAAGGAAACAAAACAGGTTGAACCGAAACTGCAATCTTTGTAGCCTAAATCACATTATAAGACAGTAAAACAACAAGATTGCCTTCCAAATTTTCAGGTTTCAGGACATCTTTTAAACAAATTCATTTATATTATTCATTCATTTATTTTATTTATTTAATTTATACCCCGCCTACATAAATCACAAGACAGTAAAACAACAAGATTGCCTTCCAAATTTTCAGGTTTCAGGACATCTTTTAAACAAATTCATTTATATTAATATAAGGGGACCTCTCATTGCGTTCTATGTTTATTTTATCTTGCAACTTTGTTATTTATTTTAAAGGGCATGACAAATATATTCTATTTAGGCAAATAAATATAATAGGCTAAGGAGGGATGGGCAAAATGAAGACATCATGGCACTTTTCAAATATTTGAAAATAAGTCATACAGAGGAGGGACAGGATTGTCCTTGATCATCCCAGATTGCAGGACACATAATAACGGGCTCAAGCTACAGGAATCCAGATTTCAGTTGAATACCAGGAAAAACTTCCTAACTGTTACAACAGTATGACAATGGAACCAATGACCTCAGGAAGTAGTGAGCACTCCAATGCTGGAGGCATTCAAAAGAAAATTGGACAACCATCTGTCAGATCTGCTTTGATGTGGATTCCTGAACACAGCATGCTAGGCTTGATGGCCTTAGAGGCCCCTTTCAATTCTATGATTCGAAGCCTTTCAGAAATTACCTGACTTAAGCTCCAAGCAGCTGTAACTAGCACAACTCATGGGGGGGCGAGGAGGGAGGCGGAATGCTAGGACTTGTACCTATGATTCTAAGCCTTTCAGAAATTATCTGACTTAAGCTCCAAGCAGCTGTAACTAGCACAACTCATTGGGGGGGAGGGAAGGTGGAATGCTAGGACTTGTAAACCAACAACATTGAGAGTCACATTTTGCATGCTAATCCAATAAAGGCAGTTTGATAAGAACAAACAACCAATAATTTGTTTATTTCTACCAACACATATGTGCCATTTTGCATTGCTGAAACAGAATGATAACAATACCTCCCAATCCACCTACTGCTGCCTATCCTAGATTGTTTGCTTGATGTAACTACTTATTTCATGCACATTCTACCTTCCTCCTAGCTGAGGAACCCTAGTCGGCTTACAAATTTTTTTAAAGTATTCAAACAGTATAAAAACAGAATTACAATATTAAAAACCAATTAAACTATTACAGTGTCTTGAATAAAATCTCATTTAACAACTTAAAAACATATTTAGAAAAGACAGAAGAGTCAACCACCTCAACAAAATCCTTTCCTCTGAAGCAATGCACTTATTAAACACCTGGCTAAAGAAGTGAGTCTTCACCAGCTAGCAGAAGAAGGGTAAGTGTGATCTTCCATAGAAGGGAGTGCCACCATCTGGGAGCAGCAACTGAAAAGGTCCTCTCTCATATACACATTAAGTGTGCCTGTGACAGCAATAGGGCTGAGAGAAAGGCTTCAAGAATATAAGATTAAACAGAAACTGACTTCAAGTACATAATGGCCGAAATCCTGTTGCATAACTCTGTGTGTGAAGTGGTGATGATTCATCAGCAGCTACAAAACAGTGATTCTGGCATGCAAGCCACTTTGCACGATGATTCATCAGCAGCTACAAATCACGGCTGATTAAAGCAGTGATTCTGGCATGCAAGCCACTTTGCATAAGAATTGTGTGTATCGTGATACCACATTTAATCAGCTGCAATTTGTGGTGATGACATCCTCGCTGTTGCACACAGAGAACTGCGCAAAAGGATTTCAGCCAATATGGTTTTAAAAGTTCACTTTTGAAGACCTGCAGATGCTCCAAAAGCAAAAATGGTGCAATCATTAGACAATACTATACAAACTGATGTTCAAATCCTGCCTCCTTTGTGAGATTTATACAATCCCATAGACATTTGCTAACATAGTATGAGACATGTTTGGCCAGTACAAAGAATTTTGCACGTGTTAAGGACTACTGCACGTCTTTAACAACACACACTGTACTACACCATTAGTTTTAGTACAATACTTGCTACACAAACTTCCCATGTTGCATAGCTACTGGGAAATGTACAAGCCCTTTCAAAAGAGTACATCACATGCAAAGCATTTGCACAACACTTAATAAGCATCCTGTTTACTCACCCTAATCCATCCAGAGAGATGGAAAAGTCCTGCCATTCCATGCATCCTAATAAGGAACAACCATCTAGTTATATCAACAATATCACTGAACAATAGTCAAATCACTGTTTAGATCACAATTTGCTGTGCACTACAAAGAAAAGGCGAGAAAGGAGAAAGAGGAAAAGTTTTTCAAACACTTGAAATGGCATGCCTTTCTTCTTACATGTACTAGTAGATGCATTCTGATAACGAAACCAAATCACTTGACTACATGGTAGCAGCCTACGGACCTTTAAAGGAGGCCTTTTATCTATTTTTAAACTATGTTTTGCGCAATATATTATGCAAATAATTACAGAAAAGCAATCCACAATCTCGTCAAATCTCAATCAAAAACTCTGAAAACTTCAAATATTATAAAGGAACTGCGTTGACTGTCAAGGCATACTCTATGGCAGACCTGGGTAAAGTGCAGCCTGCGCATTGCCGCTGAGTGAGCTGGAGCTCTGGCTCCAGTCACCCAGCACGGCAGTAAGCAAAACTCGCGAGATCCGATGCTGGGAGCTCACGAGTTTTGACTGTTACTCTTGAGCCGCAGGCTGTGGAGCCTGTGACTCAAGAAGCCAGAAGCGATCCTTGCGCAGGCAACGTGGTGACGCATCACGTTGCCTGCGCAGAACAGAAGACAGTCGGAGAAGAAGGCCATGGGAGAACCGAGGACAGATGAGTTATTTATTTATTTATTTGATTTATTCCCCAAAACCGAGGACAGATGAGTTATTTATGTATTTATTTATTTGATTTATTCCCCACCCATCTGGTCTACAAGACCACTCTAGGCGGCTCAGTGTCCGGGTTTTTTCCTCCCCTTCCCCCGCGGTGAACGAATTACAAGGCTCACATAACATCATTGTTTCATTTCACATTCAACAGTTCAGATTTTCATGTGGCCCCCTATAGAAATTAATTGCCCGCCCCTGCTCTATGGTAAAGGTTCCCCTTGACGTTTAGTCCACTCGTGTCCGACTCTAGGGGCTGGTGCTCATCTCCATTTCTAAGCCATGGAGCCAGGGTTTGTCCGTAGACAGTTTCTGTGGTCATGTGGCCAGCACAACTAGACACAGAACGCCATTACCTTCGCAACATGGTGGTACCTATTTATCTACTCGCATTTTACATGCTTTTGAACTGCTAGGTTGGCAGGAGCTGGGAAAGCGACTGGAGCTCACTCTGTCATGTGGATTCGATCTTACGACTGCTGGTTTTCCAACCTTGCAGCACAGAGGCTTCTGCGGTTTAACCCGCAGCGCCACCACATCCCTATGAATTCAGTTCAAAGTTTTGAGCAATGTCTGAAGTTATGAACAGAGTGGAATCTCAATATCTGAAGGACTGCTTTAGATACAAGGTTGCCCAAGTATTACAATCTACAAAGGTAGGTTCTCCTGTTCCTTCCACCTTTGGAAGTTGTACAATATATGAAGACATAATAGAGGAATTTCTTAGCCCTTAAATTCCCTTCCCCTGGAGCCCCTTTTGGCACTGACACTGGCTTTAATGCCAATTGAAGACTTGATTCTTTTGGTTTCCTTCTCCACTGCCAACTCCTGCTTTCCTGTTGGTGATTTTATATTGGACTGTAGATTAGTGTTTTAATTTGCATTGTTTTTATTAATTGAATTGGGCACTGAGCTCCTATAATGTTGCATGGGTTAGAAATGTTAATGTTACAGTGCTGGCAGAAAAGAAACATGCTTGTAGTCTTTACCTCCCCTCCCCCAATGTATATAAATGAACAGAACATATACATAGAGGAAGGGAACAAAAACTACCGGTTTATTTCTTTTTTGCTAACACTAATGCTAGTTCACATTCGCTCATCTGTACTCTAATATTTAGTTGAAAGAAGCACATAGCTACTGCCCAAAGCAACATGAGAATGTTTACAATCGTTGGTTGTTCTATAACATTATAACCAGATTTGTATTTCCTTATACCAGAAACACTACACATTATTTACAATGTGTTTATATCAACAATATACAGCAGGAAAAATGTCACAGAAGGATACATTATGCATTAAAAAGCAGGAAACAGAAGCACTTGCTATTTGGAATATTGTCCACCTTTCAAAAAAGACTTGTAAGATTTAATTGCAAGAAAGCAGTAAATGTAATGCATTTACAGTATAGATGATGGAGACTTCCATTCTGCCACAGGTTCTACAGATTCCCACTTTCTCTCCAGGATATAGCCCTGTAGATCCTCCAGTGACCTTGAGCCACGGTATCTGCGGAAAACTCCATCCTTTGCACTGAAATCAGAGAACAGGATATCTGTAACGCTGGGCCTGCAAGTGAAATATCTAGCTATCCAATACAGAAGAGCAGAAGAAACAGTGATGTTGTGACACATGCACTGTTCAGCAAGATCTTGAGAGAAAGACAAAGAAGCAAGTCCTCTTGTTCATGTTGCCTTTCTCCCTGCCTCTTACTCTCTATGCATTCCAAGCAAGGTATACATACAAGAGAAAGAGTTGCAAGCATGGAAGAGAAACACTTTGTTAACCTTCCTTGTTAGCCTTCCTTCTCTTCAGTCATGCCTGAGCAGAAGTAACTACAAACTTTAAAACCCACTCTATGATCCAACATACAATTCAGATTTTAGGGGGATGTACAGCAAACCTAAGCTATAGATGCCCAGTAACATATCTCTAACTTACTCTGTCCTGTTTATTTTGCAAACTCATCAAAACATTCAATGAATAAATCCTACAGGTATCCAACTAGCACCGTGGTCACTTCCTGTAGGGAGAAGAATCTTCTTAATTGTTCCAGTGGCAGGTTGCTATTATTCCCTCACTGTACCGCATTATATGAATTTAGCATTGCTTCATCTCCTCACAGCTCCTTCGTTCAAAAGGACTTATTGTCCCAGCAAAGAAATACAGTGATGTCCTCCAAAGGCTACAACAACTACAGCTTTCTTTCTGAAAAATCTTGACCTCTTGCCCATCCAAAGTATGCGTTGGAGTTCCACTGAGAAAAAAAGATTGTGGAACTCCACAATCCCCTAAGACCTCTAACAACCGGAATCTATTAGACCAATGTATTTATTCACGTTCTTCCATTACTCTGTTATGTAGTTCATACAGGCCACCTTCATAAACACCATATACAAATACTGAACCGATAAAAACAATTGTTATTTTCAGGAAAAGGAAGTGAGGTACTTACTGGTAAATAGTGGGAAGTGTGGTAACAAAGAAACGGCCACTTACGCCTAGAGAGTAAAGAGGTTTTCTTCAGTGGAGTTTTTCTAAGTGCATTATTTTGCTTTTGAAGACATAATCACTAAGAACCTCATAACAAGTCAATTAGGATACTTTATAATAAATGAGCTTCAAAGTAAAGTCACTACTATGTATCTGCAACTAGTTTAAGAAACTGATGGTCCATTTTGGTTTCAAGCCCACTGAGTGCATCTCATAGAACCACTACACCAGGGGGAAAAGCTACAGCTAGTGACAACCATCAAAAGGATCTCTAGAAATCTCAGAAGAACTAGTCCTGTCTCTAGCTCAGGTTCTGGTCTGCTAAGGAGAATTTAACTTCAAAAACTGCCTGCAACTAAAAAAGGCAGGGAAGAAACAAGACACCTGACCCCATACTACAGAAGAAGTATACAGCCAAAGCTCAGTTAAGAACACAGGCTCATGACTGCTGAGATGTTCTTCAAGCACACAGATTAAGGCTGCAATTCTATATCCATTTACTTACACATAGGTAATAGAGTAGGTAACCCAGAAGTAAGCTCTTGATGCTTTACTTCTGAGTAGCCATGTGTTAAATGAAGGATAAATAAATTTACAGAAGCAGAATTTTGCCTAGCCTAAAACCATTAAGTGTCTTTGTGTATAGATCTGTATCAGCAGGTATAAGATTTACCAAGCAGATTGTGGTAAACCAAAATAGCAGCAATTTCCATAAAAGAGCTCACAATGAATAGCAAATTGCTCCTGCCAAGGGGCAGAGATATGCACGTAGCCACTCCCGCTTCTGCACATCTAGCTTCATTGCTGCTGCAATGGTAGTAGACTTATTTGTAATGGCAATAACAGTATCTACCATCTGACAAGGAAGTACAAGGGAGCTGGAGTGTAAATAACCACCCTCTGAATTACATGCAAAGATCAGAACATTTTCATTATCTGGCAAAAGATTTAACAGCGTAACACTATGCATAGTGTAGTTATGAATAGATACTACAAAATCATTTGCTAGTCAAAATTCTTTTCATTAGCTTTCAAATTTGTCCCAATCTTTTACTCACGTCTCAAAAATTCATTTCAGTTAGCTGGCAACTTCTATCCAGTAGTCTAAATTATATTCTTAGTATACAAGGTAGTTTTTCCAACCTTAACTTGGCCATCCTTTTCCACAACTCCCAAAAGCCTAGACACACTGTTCATCCAAGATAAATATAAGGATCAACACAACTCAGGCCAAGTGAACAGCTTATATAAAGAAGTTCCCAAACGTATGCTATTTAGAGCAGACAGAAGCCGTATTCAGTTATGAGCTCATCTGGTGTCACCAACATGGACAGAAAAGAGCAGCAAGCCCCACACCCTCCCTCATCATTTTTTCCAAGGAAGCAGAAACAAGTCTGAAGAGAAGAGGTTCTTACACACATGTAGGCTCCATACGCAAGTACAAAACCTGGAAGTTCCAAGTTCTTCCATACACATAGAGCCTAAATGTGAGCGAAAAGCTCTCCTCTTTCAGACTTTTCCCTACATGCATGAAGAAAAAAAATGCATGAGATGGGGGGGGGGACTTGCTGCTCCTCTCTAGGTTGATGATACCAGCCATCAATTAAAATACATCTATGGACCCTTCGGGAACTAGTCTGTCTAACCCAACACTCGTTATTCAGTACTCAAGTTCCAGTAACCCAACAGCAGCAACTATCTCCCAGTTTGCCTTCAGGATACCTCAGACCTCAACCACACCCACTAGAAGGAAACTCTACAGCAGCCTTGGGGAATGATGGAAGGGTTCTGACGTCACCCAATCCCCTGCCTCATTCCCAGAATCAACAATTCCCTGAAGAAAACAAGGTCTGGGGAAGTTCTTCTTCAGCTGGTACTTCAATGCAGATAGTTTTGCTCCTTATTTGCCCTCTCTGTGTCGGAAATCAATGCTTCAAGGAGCTGGCTGCACTCGAAACCATGGAACAGTGAATTTTGTTTTCCCATGCCTTTCCCGTGCAGGAAAAGGTGAAGGAAGAGAAAAGCAGTCTCAGCCAGCAAATTGGAGAAATGAATGGGAGCAGTTTTGCACTTTCCTTGGCTTCCAGGCACAGGAGTGAAACCACTGAGCAAAGGGTTGAACACAGAGAATAGGGGAAGCCTCATTCCAAGATCCTGTGGCCCACATGGACCAGCAAGGTAACTAAATCTGGCCTTCAGGCTAGAGGCTCGCATCCCTTCTCCAGTGTTCAACAAGTGATTTATTTGTTCATTACACAAAGCAAAGCAATGAGCTAGACTCTTTTCAGATTTGCCATGTACTTCTCTTTTTATTCTTATTTATTCACAAGTTACCTACAGTATTAAAAAGCCATTTTTTACTTACCTGGTTCTTGAGTGACATCTACTTTGCCAACACTGAGTTCAAGGTCTTTGCTGCTTCTTGCAAAAGCTTCCCATGCTGATTCCATCTGCTGACAGGCTGGACACCAAGGGGCATAGCTAAGGAAGTGACGGTGTGATGTGAATTGAACACACAGCTTCATTATCTGGTAAGTCTATCATATACTAAGGAACTGTACTTCCCTGAATTGTTTCATTACTTTTTTTGCCACATTATTCTCAGCAATGGCACACTTCTCCCAGGGCTACTGACTCATGATCACTGATCACGTAGGTCAACCGTTTTGGGTGTGACTCTGTCTCAGGCTATGGGCTATCCCACAGCTCCCCTGCTGTATTACTGCAGGCTTTTTTTTTCTGAAGAAACAATGCAGAAGCTTCTGACAGTGCCAAATATTTCTTCTACAGGAGTAGGCTATCAATTAACAAAATTTAATTAAATGATTAATTAATCAACTGTATTTCTATAATGTCTTTCTCTCAGCAGTGGAAGTCAAGGGAAAGAGCTTCAATTTCACCCTACCTCTGACTGCCCAGTTTGTTTCCAGGCTCAATTTAAGGTCATGTTTATTTTTACTACCTTAAATGGCTTAGAACCATCTCACTACAGAAACATTCAGCTGCACATGAACCTGCCTGGAATTTAAGGTTTGTCTCAATGTCTCTGCTCTCTCCAGTGAAACTGTTCCAGTCTTTTCCAAGTAATGACACCCCCCCCCTTTTATAATAACCAACACTCTTCTAATGCATATATCAAATACAGAAAGCAAATATTAGAACATAAATTTTTTAGTGGTAATGCAAAGCCTGGAGCCATCTCTCCTGTTGGATGTTAACCAGCAAATATCTTTGTCAGTTTTCAGATGGTTAATGCAGACCTTTTTATGTGTTTAGTCGTTTAGTCGTGTCCGACTCTTCGTGACCCCATGGACCAGAGCACGCCAGGCCCTCCTGTCTTC